CCCTGATTTGAATCCGATCCGATTCGTTTACATTCCTAGCAACAAGATTGAACATTAGATCACTTTACCAAACTGGCATTGGTAATATATGAATCAATTGATCAACCTAAACGATTAAGCTATTAGATGAGGTCCTAAATAAGTATTTATTTAGACTGCATTTGGATGCAATGTAAATCAAGAACTGATGTAAATTTTACATCAGTTCGGTTTTGTATGCATTTGGAAAGAGGGTGTAATTATTATCGACGTAAAACTACACTCCGGTTCAGTTTTGCATGCGTTTGAATGGAGTATAGTTTTACATCGATAATAGATGTAAAACCTCATCATTTCTAAAGTTTTACATTGATAATCGATGTAAAAACCAAATCAATTTTATCGATATAAAATTTTACACTCTTCCACTCATCATTATTCTCAAGAAAACAATAATCACTTTCTGGTTAAGTGTACACCGATTCCAAACGCAAGTTAGGGAAAATTGAGCTTTTAAATCTAGACATGATTTCTGTGCTCTTATCTCAAACCAATTAACGTTGATTGGCTTCTTGTCATTGTGATACGGGGGCAGTAGCAGAGCAGAGCAGCAATCAATGAAATTCAGGGCGTCAATGGTTCTAACTTCTAACGCTATCCATCCACTCAACATGTTATGGTTCGTTTCAGCCAGAAAGGATGAAATTCGGTGTGTTGGTGGTGGTATATCCTGTGGATTTATGCCAAGCAAATACAAGTTTGGGTATGGGCCGTATGGCCATATATATTAGATTCCATTTTAACGACAGAAGATAGCAACCTTGCGGGACCCACAATGTATTATCACTCAACTTTACATCATTATCAGGGGCCCGTCTCGAAGAATCCCTAGCCCAATAATTAACCATGATCCAAGGGCAAAAGCTGCAATGTGGGGCATGAGCAACGTTTTAAAACACGATTCGGAAACGAAACAGTTATAGGCATTGGTTTTTGGGTCAACGGTCTGACTGTCTGGTTTGAATAGATAGTTTATTCTGACAGCAAAATAAAAAAAATAAAAAAATGATTAAAACCGTTGAATGAATCGATGATTCGACTGCACGGGTCAACGATTTATTAAAATTTTTAATAGTTTTGACCAGATTCTGTATTTTGGGTAAAACGAAACCAATTGTTTGAACGGTTCTTAGGCCGAACAGTCTGACTGTCCAAATCAACGGCGGTTTAAAAACGTTGGCCATGAGAATCAATATGACAATATTAAACTAGGTACATAGACCGGAAGACAGTGGACTCGTATTATCACCAGATGGGCCCCCGTCTTAGAGATTACAGGTTGATTGAGCCAACAATAACTTGTTTGTTGGCGGTGGGTGGAACTGTGGAAGACAATGTTTTAAAAGCTGATCCGGAGCCAGAGCCAGAGCCGCTTTGGTTCAGCCGTCCAATCCGAATAGTCCGTGACATTTTACCCAAATAAAAATTGGTTTAAAACCAGTATTCAGATCAAACAGGTTGATGGTCCAATCACCTGATGGATCATTAATTAATTCAATGTTTTTTTGAAAAATAATGATTCGGGCTAAAACAGAACCGGTACCCTGACCGGTTCAAAAAAAAAAATTGAAACAAAACATACAATAAAATCTTGAAAAATATAATTGATGTATCATCAAAGATCTGCAATCAAATTGATCACGTTGTCCTATTTGTGATCTCATCGCTATTTGCTCTTTTTCTCTCTTTCTCTCTTTCTCGTGAGAGCGCTCTCATTGAATTACTACTCATTTTGAGTGGCTAAAGCAATGCAATAAATCTGAAGGTGCAGGCTGGCACTTTTAAAGTCTTCCCCCTGTTTGCATGTAAAACGAGGGACTAAATCCGGTCAGGGTTGAAAGAGGAAGAAAAGGGATTCCTCACTATACCACCGACACTTTCCAAAAGCGTATATGGGATCTGGCATACTGTAATACATTGTGGGTCCCGTAAGTACGGCCTTACGGGTTTTGTCCAGCCCGAAACAAACTCAACCCCACTGAATGGTGAGGGCCGAGGGGATATTGAGATTGTTGAACCTACCTCGCCCCGCCTCATTTATAGTGTGTGTATATACTCAATTGACACTATTTAGCTGCAATGTCAACGGGTCGGATTTTGTGAGATTCACCTAGCCCGAACCTGATTAAGCCAGTGTGGGTTTGCCACCTGACCTGTATAAATATAAATCTCCATTAATTTTGTAATGGTTGTTTAAATTGGATTCAAATGATATATTAATTGTACTGAATTAATATATTATTTGACCTGATCTGCTAATATTCAATTTAATTAAACAGATTCAAATATTGTTGAATTAAATCGGCTTTTAAAGTTGTTTTAAACGGATCAGATTCGAATTGGATATTTGGATATACGAATGAATTGAATTTGAATCTAAAGTGGGATATCCCTCCCGGATTCTTATTAGATAGGATTTAGACCTGGCAATTGGGTTGGGTTCGGGTTGGGTCAAGGTATTTCGTGTTGATTTCGGATCGGGTTGAATTTCAGGTTGGGTTGTCAAATGTTAGCTCTAACCCTAAATGTTCGGGTTAGGGTTAACCCATGGGTCAATTCGGGTCATCTAAAAAAATAATTGACATTTAAAAAAATAAAGAAAATTTACATGAAAAATGTCAAAATTAAAAGAATTAACCTTAAAATTCTAAATATAAAATAAAAACTTGAACATTTAACAATTTAAAGAGTAAAAAAGTAAAGACCAAATAAAAAAAATTAAAGAGTGAAAACTTCTAACAATGCATAAATAATCCCAATTAGACTTGACAATTGGGTCTGTGGGTTGACCCATGACCTAACCCACTTTTTTATTGGGTCGGATTGGGTCATTTTCACATTCAGATAGTTAAATATGAGACCCTAACCCTATTTTTTCGGGTTGGGTTGGGTCAGGTTCACAAGTTGGGTCAACTTTTTGTCAGGTCTAATAGAAATTGAATATAGTGGGCCAAAAAAAAAAACATATTCGATCCAATCCGCTTGCCATAAAATTAAGGAAAATAAATGGTTTTATTAAAAAAGATGATTAGATGAATTCAATAAGAAAACAAATTATATTAACTTTTTTTTTGCTGTTTCATCTAACTCGAAAAATAAACTGGGTATCTGAAAATTATACAAAGTATTGCAACTTATAAAGGGGACTGACCTATGAAGATAAGAAAGTGCCATATCAACAAGATCATATGATCCCGGAAAGGCATGAGATCATATGATCTCGGAAAGGCATGATATAGAAAGAGCTTTGACCAAATTTGATAAATACCACCTGATTTATTATCAATTTTTTTTGGTATCATAATTAAATCCTAACAAAATCACAGCTAAACTTATTAAGGATTTGTTTGGTAGTGTGGTTCATTTGAAAACATTATGGTTCAGCTTATTCCGATCCACACCCTAGAAAATAAGTGTTTATTTGAGACGTAGCTCAGTTCAATTCATGGTACATAGTATGGATTGAACTTGGCCATATCACAATTTGTTGTACATGTTTAATTTTTGTGGATCAATCCATGCTATTGTAGACGCAATTATTTATTTAGAGTCCATTTGTTCGTAGTCGGAATCAAAATTCAATGAAATTAAAATCAAAATGGTTTATTCCTCTTATTTGTTTGATTCAGATGTGAAATAGAACCGGAATTAAAATCAATTAGAGTGGAATCAATGGATTTTCATTTCCAAGGGAAGGGGAGGGAATGGCCATACCCTCAAATGATGAAATGTCATTTCACATTCTTGTGAACAAAACCAATCCTTAGGGGGCACTTGTTTTTTGGATTTTGAGAAGGGGAAGTTGGTCAATGAGATATTAGTTCCCATTGACCAAGGGAAAATTTATTTTCTTAGGTATCAGGTAAGTGATACCCATCTCCCAAGTGTGTAAATAGCTTTCCCACCTGGGAGAGTTACCACCACTTTGATAGGACAAAAATGCCCATTTTAATAATAGATTTTTATATATAGGAAATAAAAGAACACAAGTAACTTACTGAAAAGCAAACGGGCCTTAAATTCTTGCAACAAATTCCCACCAGATTTTGTAAAAAAAAATATTTAACAAAATCATCAACAAGTTGGTATTACCTGCCAACAAAATACGTACCAATACCCTACCAACAAGATTTGATACCGCGTATCTCACTATGAGACTGGGACCCACCATAAAAGTGAGACCCGTCATGTATGTGTAGACTTGTTCATGGGTTGAGCCAGGCTATGCCTCTTTATAAATAGAAAATCACTAGGGCCTGAGCCCAGCCCTATATAAAACTCGAAGCTCAGGCCCGAGCCCGACTTTGACATATATTTTATAATATATTAATTATATTATATAATATTTTATACATTTAATATATATAATACTTTTTTGCTATTAATTTTACTATTATATATTATTAAGACATATATCATATTTCCATTATATATTTAATATTACTGGGCCCGCCTTGAACCAAACTTATTTAGGAAAATCCAAGCCCATGAACTTAAAATTTTGTCTAAACTCGATTTAAGATGGATCAGGCCGGGCCAGCCCATCGGATTACCTAACCCATTAACAGGTCCAGATACGTGGTGTCAGATCTGCTGGAAGAGTATTGAAACGCATTTTGTTGGCAGGTGAGGTGATCCGGATTCATCATCCACTGTCTATGCCAGTGCAAAATATCGTTGAGCTTGGTGTGATTTCAACCATACCACAGTGGGGCCTAATAAATTGAAACACTGTACAGTTGAGCCGGAATGCAAATAAATCTTATTTTTAATGTGAAGTAAAGAATCTTTATTTTGGATGAAAAAATGAGTAAAAAAATCATACTCACCAACCAAAAAAGGTTAAGTACAAAGCATATGCCAAATTGCCAACAACATCCAACTAGAAAGGTGGGGACCACGTGGATGACGTGGCAGGCAGAAGTAAAATGGAGGAGACACAAGGGGAACAGAACAAGCTTGTATCAGAATTCACAAAGGACGGAAGTTGAGGGGAGCGAGTCAGACTGAGACTGCGTCCTACCACCACCTTCGTCTTCGGATTCCTATAAATACTCCTCCCCTCCTTTCGACTATATACTCGTTCCATTTGGATCTTTTTTTTATCTTTCTTTCTCTCTTCGTTGTTTCCCTTTCTTCTTCGCGTTCCTCGTTCAAGAGAAAGAGAGAAAGGTACGCGCTGTTGGATCTGTTTCTCGATCCGATCGATTGATTCTTGGTTTCTTTTATAGAATATTAGATCTTGCCATTTTTGTTAAATTTTCATTTGAAAACCACTCAATTGTCACTGCATTTGTTGGTGCTTCGGTTTTATTGGTTTATTTTTGTTGTTGTTTTATTTTTATTAGTAACTGGCTAACTGTATTGCTTTCTTTCATCCTAAGTGATCTTTGTTCGAGATTCAATTTAATAAGAGCACATGCTTATTTTTATGTCATTTTAATTTCCTCTGAACTGTATTTTTCTGCTTAATTTCGGTATATCTGAAGTCTGGCATTTCTCCACTGCTATGTTTTGACTGCTTCAAATGATTTATACTCACAACCATGGTTTTCCTTGTTTAGGATGATTTCCGTTGCTAGATCTACTGATCTGTACATTTTCAATGTTTGATAGTTTCATACTTCAGATAATACGATTATTTTAAGTTTTCTTCCTTGTGCAATCAAGCAACGTACAGAATCGCTCAATTCATTTGGAAATAAAAAACAACCTTCTGATTTTAGAAGCTTGGTGGACAGGAAGCTTTCAATATGTTTCTCAAAGTACAGGATGATAACATACGGTATTTTCGTGATTGTGAAATCTCTCTTATACCAGAACATAAATATTTTCCAAGCGAGGTGGGAGAATTTTGAACCAGTCAAGTAACATTTTTTATGATCAAAACCATGGAGTTTAAGTAGGGATCTTCTAATTGTCATAAATTCATCATCGCGGCCTGTTTTATCCTTCATACATGGGTTAATTATATTAATCCTGTTCTTCCACACTGCTCTCTCTAGAGCAATATTTTCTTTTAGACAAAGATTTGCTTGATATTTTTCTTGTGCCTGACTACGTGTTTTATTGGCCTTTCAGAACTAGGGATAGGGATCTGAATTAAATTTTGTGAAGGAGATAATCATAGAATGAAATAATTGTGCAAAGCATTGTTTTTTTTATTCTTTTTTTTTTCGCTGCAAGTTGTGCGAAGCATTGTTTTAAGCTCAGGAGAATCTTTGGTTTGACCATAATTAAATTGACATCTGAAATAAAAAAAAAGAGATGCGTTTCATTCAAATAAAAAATTCAAATCCAGACGCATTTGCTTATTCTATCAAACTACAATAATGAAACGGGAATATTTTATCAATTTCTTCATTTATGTTACTTATGTTGTTTGATTGACATGCTTTGTTTGGATTGCAAGCCTTCCTAATGTAGAAAATGTGTTATCTTCAAATGCCCCATCACGTGTTCTACTTGCTTTTTTCTTCTTCTAATGGTAGTAGTTATTTTGTTTGTTTTTTTTTTCTAACCTAGTTGGTTTATCTGCAAATACTCTGTCCTGATGCAGAAATGGATACCTTCCTCTTCACATCTGAATCTGTCAATGAGGGTCACCCTGACAAGCTTTGTGACCAAGTCTCTGATGCCATCCTTGATGCCTGTCTAGAACAAGACCCCGACAGCAAGGTTGCCTGTGAGACCTGCACCAAGACCAACATGGTCATGGTGTTCGGTGAGATCACCACCAAGGCCAAGGTCAACTATGAGAAGATTGTCCGTGACACTTGCAGAGGCATTGGGTTTGTGTCGGCCGATGTAGGTCTTGATGCTGACAAGTGCAAAGTTCTTGTTAACATCGAGCAGCAGAGCCCTGACATTGCCCAGGGTGTCCACGGTCACCTCACAAAGAAGCCTGAGGAAATAGGAGCTGGTGACCAAGGTCACATGTTCGGCTATGCAACAGACGAGACTCCTGAGTTGATGCCACTCACCCATGTCCTTGCCACCAAGCTTGGTGCTAAGCTCACTGAAGTGCGGAAGAATGGAACTTGCCCATGGCTGAGGCCTGATGGCAAGACCCAGGTAACCGTGGAGTATAGAAATGAAGGTGGTGCCATGATTCCTCTTAGGGTCCATACTGTGCTCATCTCTACTCAACATGACGAGACTGTGACTAACGATCAGATTGCAAAGGATCTGAAGGAGCATGTAATCAAGCCAGTTATCCCTTCCCAGTATCTTGATGACAAGACCATTTTCCACCTTAACCCATCAGGTCGCTTTGTCATTGGTGGACCCCATGGTGATGCTGGGCTCACTGGCCGGAAGATCATCATTGACACCTATGGTGGATGGGGTGCTCATGGTGGAGGTGCTTTCTCAGGGAAGGATCCAACAAAGGTGGACCGCAGTGGTGCTTACATTGTTAGGCAGGCTGCCAAGAGTGTGGTGGCATCAGGGCTTGCTCGTCGCTGCATTGTGCAGGTTTCTTATGCAATTGGTGTGCCTGAGCCATTATCTGTGTTCGTGGACACATACAAGACCGGGAAGATTCCAGACAAAGATATATTGGCTTTGATCAAGGAGAACTTTGACTTTAGGCCAGGAATGATTGCAATTAACCTAGACCTTAAAAGAGGAGGCAACTTCAGGTACCAGAAGACTGCAGCCTATGGGCATTTTGGTCGTGATGACCCAGATTTCACTTGGGAGACTGTCAAGCTTCTCAAGTACGAAAAAGCTTGAGTTGCCATGATTGTGGTTCAACTACCCCTCTTCTCTGAGGGAACAAGATTGGAGCATCTATGCATACATTTAGTATGGAGTTAATTTTCAAGGATCCAGACTCTACACTCTAGAGCAGTTAGTGCACGAGGAACTGCAGCTCAGTAGTAGTTGATTTAGAGGACCTATAGAATTCACTGCATCTGTCTTCTGTCTTTGTCCTTGCTTTGGGAAGTAAATTTTTTTTTTCTTTTTTTCCGCCAAAACATTTAGGGTCGTTGGGGCTTTTGGGAGCTCTCTCTCTTATAATTGATCAATTTTCAATAGAAAAAAATTGCATGCATCATTGTCTTCCTCATGGGAAGCTATTGAAGCATGAAGTTATCCGCATTGTTTTCTTTTTATATAGTTTTAAATTCAAATTTTCACTTTTCATATGCCATTCAATGTTTGGCAAAGCGACTCCGGATCTCCTGCCGCAATAATACTATGTAAGAAAATAAGATGTTCCCCATATGTGAGCCTAGCCTTTGCCATAGAGACCAATTTTGCTCCTTACAGAGAATGAGAGAAGAGAGCTACTCGCGCCAACCTCGTTGCACAATGCAGCCCAGAATATCTTTCCGTACTTGTATGTTAACTGAATCAACTAGTGTATATTTATTTATTTAGAATATATAGTATAAATATAAAACCGAAGGAGTAATTCGGACCTGATCGGATATTCTTTCCCATTAATGAATCCACCTAAGAAATATCATCTTCTATCAAAAGATCCAGTTTAATATGCCATTTCCGTTTTGAAGATTATAGATAGTGCCCTCTTTTCCGACCGGTGTCATGGTCAAGATCTGTGGCTTCTTCAATCCAACTTAAGGGTCTCTGGTATTAAGGCTATCCCATCGGACCTAATTTCTGATTTTTTTTTCTTTTATTTTATTTCTGTGACGAGGTGGCTTTTCTTGAAACCAGCAACCGAATGGCGTTTTGCTTGTATGAATATTATAAGGATGCAAGGTTTTAAATATTGATACACCTGATATGTCGGTAGAGGCGTATCGGGCAGTATCAGTTTTTATTTTATTTTATTTTTTTACTTTTTCTATATATATTTCAAAACCAGTTCAGGGGGGCTGGTTTAAGGCTCCACCCCCTGAACCAGTCGGAACCCTGATACACCCTCTGTAAGGGCATATCGGGGTGCTCCCGATACGTGTATTGACCGATACATGTCGCTACTTTGAACTTGTAAGGATGTGTCCTTTTCTTCCTCGCTGCATTTTTTAATGGCAATCGTGATATCTCTCACGCCTTGAAGAAGCAAGTTCTAATAATCAATTTGTCAACCATTTCTTAAAACTAGTCAATCACAAGTAGCATAACATTCATTAGTACATGCACTGGAATGTTTTTTTTTTTTCCAGCTAAACGGTATCTTGAGCTACCTGTAGATGGTAAATGGTGCAGGCATGAGCTTCTTAGGAGTGCAACCAGAGTCTGTCGTGCAGCCTCTCCTCTCCTGCACCATACATCTCATCAACCCTTTCACCATCTCGGAAGAAATGGAAGGTAGGGGTGTAGCGAATGTGCTGAGTTGTTTCTAGGCATTCATCAATATCTGCATATACAAATGAAAGCTTGGGAAAATCATTGCTCAACTTGCAAAATGTGGGGAGGATCTGGCTACAGATATAACACCTGAAAAAAATGGATGGACTAATTTAAGTACTTCAACTCATGTTCTCTTGTGCACATCAAAAATAAGATAACCAAAATCGATTCTTTCTCAGGTTGGCAAGGTTCATACATAATGGATTGCAAGTTTGATGTTATCTGATGCCCAATAACAGTCCATATTATTGCATTTAAGAAGTATGCTAATGATTCCTAGGTCTTAGCAAATAAAGAAAGAACAATGACCCTCCCATTTGTAGCATGTTTCATGGCTATGCAATGCAACTCAGTTCCTGAAGCATCATCAAACATTGAATGCAATTTTTTAAGTGGTTGCACAATTTTTACTCTCCTACCATTATCAAAATTGTCCAGTATCAAGGGATATTTTTGGTGATTGTCCAGTATCAAGGGACATTTATGATACTTCTAAAGGATTGACAAAGAGCATACTCCTTTTATAAATGCAGGCAGAAAAACACAATTCTCTGTGAATTGTCAATTCACATGCAGGCAGCAAGCATGACTTAAAGTTGGCTTGCTTTACATGCAGCAACCCTTTCATGACCAACTGCCAACATGAACGACGAAGCAACATATCCATGTAATAAGCTGAAATTCATGCAGATGGATTAACTGTCAGGCTCCCAATCAACTGGTATCATAAAAACGGTAACCAAACAGGTGGTTATTTATCAAATTCACTAGGGAGTGGGGGGGGGGGGGGTTGGTCAAAGCCCTTCCGGTATCATGTCTTCTGGCAAAATATATTTTTAAGTCTTTGTACCCCATCACTCGTTCACTCTATGTGCATACCCTTCTTCCCCTCTCTCATAAGTCAACCTCTGTCGGTGCTTCTTCTTGGTTGGCTGTACATCTCTGACAACCAGCCGTGACATTGTGACACAGAAGATGTCAGGGATGAAAATCCCTAGACACTTGGTATTGAAGTACTAATTTTCCTAATTCAGTGGGTTTTCCTGCCCAATCTGTAATAAATTTTTAAGTCTATTGCGCCCACCATTCTATACATATCCTTCTTCCTGTCTCTCATGAATCAACCTTTGTTGGTACTTGTTCTTGGTGGGCTGTAGATGTCTGACGACCGACCTTGATATTGTGTCACAGAAGACGTCAGGGATGAAAATCCCTAGACAATTGGTATTCAAGGGCTAATTTTCCTAATTCAGTGGGTTTGTTTGTCCCATCTGCAAAAGCCTTTGCACCCGCCCCTCTATGTGCATATCCTTCTTCCCGTCTCTCATGAATCAACCTCTGTTGGTGTTTGTTCTTGGTGGGCTGTACATGTCTGACAACCAGCCTTGCTATGTGTCACAGAAGATGTCAGGGATGAAAATCCCCAGAGAATTGGTATTGAAGTGCTAAATTTCCTAATTATGTGGGTTTGCTCGTCCCATCTGCAACAATAGTGGGTTCAATTTGTGAAGCACTAACTACACCCCAAAAAACATTGTAGCACTTAGAATTTTGCTGGATTAACCTCCTAAATCCGTGAAAGAATATGTTACTGGCAATCAAACCAACCATTACTGAAGCAGATACACAGACCCTCGTCTTTTTCTTAAAGGGCGCTTGTGGCTTGTGCCTCTGGGATCCTGAAAAGACATAGAGGTCAGAAGAACTTGCTGACGAAGACTTTGGACCTCACAAATTAGCCTATAAAGCTTGTATGGGATTACTTGAAGAGGTCCTCCTCAACCCAAATTAGTTAAACAGAACTAAACAGTTGTTGTTCCTTATCCCACTGAAGACCCTTCAACAATAAACCTTTCATGATGAGTTCTCACAAAGTGATTTGGTTATTCATATTTACATTCTTATGTGGAGGTATTCCAAATTTTCTTTAAAGAGGACAAATATGGATTTTTTTTTTTGAAAATGACAAATATGGAAATTGGTTCTGTAGTTGCAGCTGCATGATGGATTAGTGAATGAGGGCGTTTATTTTGTTTCATGAGGCAGGTTTATCAGAGTCCCAATTAGTTGTCACATGACAACTCTTAATATCAAATTTCTTCCAATTCTAACAATAAAAATCTTCTCTGCATTTCTAATAAAAATCCTTAGTTCTCCTGCATTATGCAACAAGATTTTTTCCCTTTTAAACATTTTATTTATGTTTTGTCTCTTTCTGTTTTCTGAATGAAATCAATCACCATCTAGGAATCTGCATCCCTCCCTCTTAGACATTCTAAAGGCTCTGGAATTCTTGTAAGTTTAAAATGCCTTTCCATCATCTAAATTATTTATAGATTTTTCAACATTACCTAATAATATATGCTTCCATAAGAAAAGTAGAGGATAGCGTGGGGGAAGAACAACATACCAAGATGCACCATAGTTGATAACTGCCTGCAAACAGATTAACAGAACCATTAATAAATCCATTTCTTAAAAGAAAAAAGAAAATATAAAGAAAGAGAAGATTGCAGACCAACAAATGGATACCGAGCTCAGAACCAATTACGTAGCAAGGAAAAAACCCAGTTCTCAAACATAAACAAGAAACTGAAACAATGTAACAATCACTTACAGGAGTTTTGGAAGACTTGATATTTTGCAGAATCTCTTTCAGATTTTCATCGCTTGAAGCGCTTTTCAGGTTTCCATGTAGGTTGGCTGGCAGATTCAAGCCTGTTCCCTCAAGACCCCCCTTTTGTTCCTCTTCACTGCCACCCGGACCAGCTCTACCCTCCATTGTTTCTCCCTAAAACCCAACAAACCACAGAAAGCTTTCGACTTTTGAGATTCGAGTAGACCGCAGATGGTAAAGTTTAGCGACTCCGGATCTGCTAGTAATAAAATGCAAGTAATATTGCGGCAACAACATTATTTCATGCCATCTGTCCTTAGTACGTGTACTATACTAATTAGAGCTTGTGCAAAACTAATAGAGAGAGGCGTTAACTCAGATGAATTCTGAGATGAGACACTCAAAAATTTAACCAGATAGTCTGGAAGGAGAGAGAATATGTTAGAAAAATAATTGTAGAAATGGAGAGTGGGAGGACAAGTGATTCGACTGACCCCCTTCCAGTCTTCGCATGGCACCTCGAAAACCGAAATGAAGCAACTTCCCAAGGAATGTGTGTTTTTCGTTTTTGGTTTGTTAATGGCGGATCCAGAAATTGTTGCTTCTGGTTATACATTCGAGCGGAACTGCGTTTTAGCTTGTAAAAACTTTTACACCGATCTTCTCTGAATGCTCAAAACTCAATTCCTTTATCGTAATTTGGAAATTGCCTTTAAATCAACTATTCTCAACTGGTGTGGTTTTTCTACTGTTGAACGCCCCAGGCCCACGGAGTATGGTTTGGAAGAGAAGTTTGTTTGTGCATTAATGGCATCTCAAGACAAAATATTACAGAGCAAAAGCAATAAAACATTAAATAAGGAAAAAAAAGGAAATGGTACGAAGCTAGAGTGGTTTCTGAGCAGCATCTGCTTAAAGGGGTTGCAAAGAATCCTGCAATCAAATTTACTTACGTGGAGACTGAAGTAAATCATTCATCAACTTGCTTGCACACGATGTCAGAGGAATTAGTGACGACCACCATTCCCACCTGCTACAACTTGCAACGTCGTCATTGGCGATAGACTTGCCTCAAATGTTGGTGACGAATGGCAGAACACTTCAGTGCCGGTGGGATAAGCAGCTTGCAGTTGAAAGGCAGTGGTGGGTTTGAATCACTAGGGTTTGAGCCTTGATAGTTTCGTTGGAAAGACAATGGAACAAACTAACAGAGGAGTTAATAGATGGCTGTGATCAATGATCATTGGTGGGCCCCTGATTTCAGATATTTCTTAGCCATGAAACCATGATCAAGATTCAAGAGTGAGGAGAAAGGGTGTTTTCGTAAATTCATGATCGATTTTTCAGATTGGGGCGCGGTTCTAATCTGATAAACCCACGGAGAGTCTCAAGGGGAGAGAGAGAGAGAGAGAGTCATGGCTTCTAATCTCCTGACGTTGCAAAGCTTTTGCCTTGGCTTCTCTGCTAATCGTTATTTAAACTATTTTCAGCGTCAGGCACCTTCAAATCCCAGAAGCCATCCTCTAATCTCGCGAAGGTCCACATTAGCCCATAACTTAAAGCTCAATAGTGTGTGCAGAGCAGCTACTGATGGTATGTTTTTATTTCTCCAGTCTTCCCTGATTTTCGTTTATTAAATTCATTATACTTTTTTTACTTTGTCTGTATGAAATAGCTTATTTGAGCTTTGTTTCCTTTTAAATTCTTCCATTTCTGTTTGTTTTATGTTGGTGAATTAATGTTGACGATAAAGTTAGATAAGCTGGCTCGTATTCAAGTAAAAAAATCATTTCCTGGGGGAAGATTTTTCCTGGAAAGATGTTACTTATTATAGAGGGTTTTTATATTTTTATATTTAATAAATTGTTGCAATACAGAGTAAAAGGAAAACGAACAATGAAAATTCGGAGAATTCTATCAAAATGAAGCTGATCAAAGATATTTTTGCTAGGTTCAGGGACAAGTAAAGGATCCATGCAACAATTTATGAATGAGAAGTAATGGAAATCCGGCTATGTGAACTTGAACACTCTTTTATAAGAAACCATTGAAAGTAAACATATTAGAGTCGAGTCTATAACTAAATTAGAAGATAATGTAATGGCAACACTGAGATTGCAGGTATATGGGCTTAAACTTAGGCTAGCATAGTGCGAAGGGATTGACACAACCATGGAAGAGGGGGGGGGGGTGATTAAGAGATGTTTTATCTTCTTTGGTACTAGGCATATGGGGCTTGACTCAATTTATAAGATTTTCAGAATACTCCAATGATCTTCTGTCATATGGTTTCCTCCTATAGTTCAGGAATCAAGTGATACATAGTCTAACCAGCATGCAAATATGAACCTTGCTAAATGCTGATTGTATCGGCTTATGTACTGTAGAAATTCTAAAACATGTATATATTTAGGCCTATATCAATGTCAATTGTATTAAGATTTTCTTGAGGTTTAAGTTTCTCGCCTTTGTGTTCAAGATTATGTAAGGACTTATTTGATGGTTTTTGCCTTTTGTTTTAGATACAAAATAAGTACATTTTTAGATCAATAACTCCCTCTTCATGGAGTGTGTGTTGGGATTTTTATTATTAATAACTAATAGGCATTGCATTTTGCAACCACTAGGGGTGGATTCGAGCCGAGCCGAGCCGAATAGCTAGCTATTTGAGCTTGACTCGTCAAGGTAGTACAAGGCTCGAGCTCGAGCTTGAGCTCGGTTTGAGCTAGAACCTTGAACTTGAGCTCAGCTCGAGTCAAAAGCTCGTAAGCTCGAGCTCGGCTCGGCTCAAGCTCAACTTGAGAAAAATGTTTTATAAAAATAAAAAAATATATATATAATATTTTTATTTGATATTTAAAAATTAAGAATTATAATAATTAGTTATTATTATATATAAAAATAAAAATATTATATATAAAAATAAAAATATTATATATATAAAATAATAATAATAATAATAATAATAATAATAATATTATTATCATTATTATTATTATTATTATCTATGTAGCTATTCGAGCTCGGCTCGCGAGCCTCACG